CACATGACAGACTTGTTAATTCTCATAACTCTTCACCCTTCAAGCATTATGCAATGTTTTTCTGTCCCTGTATTTTTTGACTTGAAGTTTACTTGTGTAGTGAGGGGCTGCGGGCAGGCCTGCTTTTCGCCTCACCCGGCTCCCGCATGGCTAGCTTAGTCCCAGAAATAACAACACACAAATTGTATTCATTTAAGCACTGCCTGGCCCATTATCTCTAGAGAGTTAGTTACTGACTAACTCTCATATCTTGATATTAACCCATTTCTAATAATCTGTATCACACCATGAGGTGTGGCTTACCGGGAAAGATTCAGCATGTCTGACCTGGTGGCTGGCTCCATGGCGTCTGCCTCATAGCCCTCTTCCCAGCATTCTATTCTGTTTACTCCGCCTACCTAATTTTCTGTCCTATCAAGGGGCCAAGGCAGTCTCTTTATTGACCAATGAAAATAACACAATAGACAGATAACCCTCCTCCATCATACTTGTCTGATAGTAATATCATAGCTTCTTTGTTAACTCCTGTGTGATTTTCTATCCTTTTACTTTCTGCCTCTTTTGTGTCTAGATTAAAAAATTAAAGATAAATAGCCATTTTTATGGTTCAGTAGGTAAAGGCACACTTGCTGTGAAGTCCAAAGACCTGAGTTTGGCCAACATGGGGAGAACCAACTTTCCTGACATACTCATTAAATAAATGAAAATTTTAGCCCCACAACTGACAGGGTTTCTCTTCATAGCTCTGGCTGTCCCGGAACTTGCCCTGTAGAGTCTATTCTTATCTACTTGTTTCTTCCCTTTAGTGGAAATTTTTGGTCATATCTCTAACACAGATGTCATTGTGAGTGTGCCTACCATCTCTCTCTCCTTCCTAAGCTCTCCTCGCTTCTGAGACGGAACCTTACTTTGTAATTCAGGTTATAGCTTCCTACATAGTCCAGGCTGCTCTGGAACTCAAATCTTCCTGCTTTCACTTCCTGAGTGTGGCTACAAGTATGTTACATAATGTCTAGCCTTTAGTCCGGTGGTTCTCAACCTTCCTAATGCTGTGACCCTTTAACATAGTTCCTCATGTTGTAGTTACCCCCAACCATAAAACTATTTTTCTTGCTGCTTAATAACTAATTTTTCTACAGTTGTGACTAGTAATGTAACTCTGGCTTGCAGGATATCTGTATGTGTCCATGTGTCTGTCCTTTCTTCATTCCCTCATTGCCCCATTAGGCCACTCCCTGAAGCCGTGTAGAGCTCAACACTGCGCAAGCTTGAGGACCAGAGTTTGGGTCCTCAGAACCCACATAAACCCTGAGTGGGTGTGGTGACTCCCCTGTAATTCCAGTGCTCACATCAGGCTTACCAGCCAGACTAACTGTGTTGGTGAGTTATGGGTTTAACTGTGAGACCCTGTCCCTGTGAATGAGGCAGAAGGCTGTCCATGCCAACCTCAGGCCTCCACACACATGTATGCACTTGCCTGTGCATACACACATGCAAATACACATACACACCACAAAAAATAAAAAAGTCTGTTCAGAGTCTGACAAGATGGTTGAGGCAGCATAAGGACCTGCTGCCCAAACATGACAATCTGGGTTCAGTTCCTGGATCCGATGGTGGAAGTTGAGAACTGACTTCTGAAATGTCCTGTCACCTCCATGTACATGCTGTGACACTCACCTGCACTCATACCGACACCCAATATAAGAAAAACTTTAAAGTTCTCTGTTCAAGTCTTCGCCTTCAATTCTGTGAGAATCCACCCCACTATGGATGGCTCATGCCTCCGTGGATGACCACATACCCATGGGTATCACTAATTGGATTCAGGGGATTAATAATAATTAACATACACACATATATGTATGTATATATATATATGAATGTATGTATGTATGTATACACACATATATATGAACATCACTGTGTAGTCAAAGATGCCCTTGAATGTATGGTCCTTCTGCCTCAGCATCCTATCTTCTGTTTTGTTTAAATTCAGATCTACCTGCCTTTGCCACCTGAGTGCTGAGATTTAAGGTGTGCACCACTATGCTTTGCCTCACTTACATCTTCTTGATGTGTTGGAAATATTTTAATTTGCATGTTTATATGATGTGTGTGCACTCACGTGTGCATATGCATTTGTGTGTGAATTCAGATGCGCGTGTGCCATAGTGTGCATGTGGAGGTCAGATGACCTTGGGTGTTGGTCTTCATGCTTCAACTGTTTTGAGATAGGCGCTCTTGGTTGTTTTCCATTGCCTGCATCATACATCAGGCTAGGTGGTCTGGTAGGAGAACTGGGATTACAGATGCTCATGCTACATGTCAGGATTTTATGTGGGTTCTAGGGATTTGAACCCTGGTCCACGCGCTTTTGCCCAGCAACCCATCTCTCCAGCCCAAACATTCAAATTGTATCAACATTTAAATATCCTGCTTTGCCTTTGTAACCTTCTTGTGCTTGTGTACTTTTGTGTGCATGTACATATGGGTTTGGAGACCAGATATTGAAGTAGTATCTTCCTCAGTCAAAAGCTTTTCACCTTGTTTTTTGAGACAGGGTCTCTTCCTGCACCTAGAACATACACAGCCTCATTGACTGGTTCCTAAACGCTGCCCTCACCTCTCTTCTTCTCCAGCCCTAGGATGACTGGTATGTACCACTACACCTGTCTACTACACGGGCAATGGGGCATTGTGCAGCAAGCATTTCACAGAGCAGAAATCTGAGTGTTTCGCCTATTTCTAAAATTGGCATTCCTCCTGGCTCCGTGAATCCTCTGGAGAAGGCTCCTTTCAGTAGTCTGAAGGCTCTGTGAAACCTTGGGAGGTTTTCCCACGTGTACACATTGAACTGTCCTTATCTGTAGACTCAGGACTGTCTGCAGCTTGGGGTGCTACTCCCCTCCCTCCCTTTGCTGTCCACTGAAGTCACATCACCCTTGCTGAGCTCCTGCTCAGACAGACTGCCGGGCTCTGGGTGGTTCCCGACTCGGAGTATAGCCAGAGACTGCTTTCCGTGCCACATTCTAAAGCAGTCGTGGGCTCATGTTGCCTCTCATCTGTCAGCATTACCCACTGCCGCGTCTTAGAAATCCTTCTTTCATTTATTTTGTCTGCAATAAAATGAAGACTCAGGCAGGAGATGAGATCTAGTTACTCTCCCATCATCCTGACTAGAAGCTGCCTATGATTTTGGAATCACTCAGAGAGTTTGTTATGACTCCGTGGATCTCGGGCCATACGCCAGTTGTACTGATTTACAAGCTGTGGCAGAGGCTGGGGTACGGTCTGCAGGCATGTGCCAAGAAGTTGCCTGGTGTCAGATGTGTAAAGTCAAACGACACAAGAGAGTTCCCGCACCACTGAGAAAGGCTGTGTGTGCCAGTTCATAGGGTGCAGCGCACTAAGTCCATTGTCTACAGAAAGAGCGCTTTGGATCCCTCTCGAGGAAAGACATCCAGATACAACCCCATGGCAGCCAACAGAGAGTCGGTAAATGACGCACGGGGGGGAAGGGGGGAAGGCGGGGGTGGAATAAAGGAGTAAATTTGGATCCGGAGAACCCTGGGGAAAGGAGGCTGGCAGGCAAGCGCATTCCAAGGGGAGAGGACGTTGTTCAGGATCCGAGGTGTGGGAATGCAGGACACATTTGAGAAATTGTGAATAGTTAGGAATGGCTAGACAAAAGACAGAGATCAGGGAGAGGTCTTCAGTGTCTCCATCTTAAACAGATGCATAGGAGGAAATAGAGGAAGTCATTCTATGGGCTACACAGTTTAATGACAATTTTGTATCTATCCGTTCATTTTAGGTCAGACTGCATTCAAGGGGCCACAATCCAAAAATACGCAAGATCCTGTAAGTACATTATTTTTTGAGACAGGATCTTACTATGTAGACCAGATTATCTTGGAACATGCAATCCTCCTGCCTCAGCCTCTCTCAAGTGTTGGAAACTCAGATGTGCCTGCCTACGCGGTTAGTTTTTTCCAGTCATAACATCAATAGCTAAAGAACAACCGGTAAGTGAGAATGGGGCTCCTTCAGCTGCACTGTGGGCAGCTCACGGTCGGAAACAGCATTCAGTTAACACTAATTAGCTCCCAAGCGCCATCCTGAGCACTTTGTGTAGGTTAATACACTTGGTCTTTACAGATATGATACTTACACTACTGTGATAACTTACGCTTATTTTAACAGAAAACACTTTGTGCGGGAGGTGTTGAGACAAAGTCTTGAACTCATTTTGTCTGTCCAGTTGGTCCCAAACTTGTGGTCCTCCCTCCTCAAGCTGGGGTTGTAGGCAGCTGTCACCAGGTCCAGTTTACAGGACAATCCTTTAACAGCAATCTTTCAATGCATCTATTTTACTGGTCACCAACCATTGTGCTACCTCCAGGAGTACTAAAATCCCAGAGCCCACGCTGGGGGGATGGCACTGTGGGTAAAGTGTTAGCCGCCAAAGTGTGAGGACCTGTGCTTGAATTCACAGCACAGACCTAAGCAGCTGGGTGTCCCAGTGCACATCTCTGGTGGTGAGATAGGAGGTGGAGACAGAAGACTCCCTGGAAGCTCACGAGCCATCTAGCCTGGGGTATGATGCAATGCACGAGAGGCCGTGCTTCAGACAAAGTGGAAGATAAGGACCAACACCTGAGGTTGCCCCTTGACCCCCATACGCATGCTGTGGTACATGTGTGCCCCACTCTCAATCCCAGAAACCTGGCAGAGTGGAGGTGTGTCACATGAAGAAATCTGTAGGTGATCACCTAATGGTTTTGTGCCAAACGCAAGTTTATCCAACTATCAAACTGCCGTAGCAGGTTTTGAGAAAATGGGTCAGCAAGGCTTACACCCAAACCAGAGCTAATAGGAAACTCGAGTTTCTTCTTTAACCTGAACAGAGACATCTTCCTATAGTAAGCTTGAGATGATGCCATTAACAGACTCTCCCAAATGTCGTTTGAAAACAAACAGTACCAAGACTAAAAAAGTAAGCACACGCTCTGTTTATCATTTCTCCTCAGCAGACACCGCTGAATGGAACACTTTCTCTAACCACACGGGATGGTTTCCAATCTGAACATGTACAGGTAAAGTGATCACTTATCTTGATGAACTTCCTCGCAGTCAAATAACCTCAACGCAAGTCCATGCTACTGAGTCCTAAGAGCTAGAAAGAGCAAGGCCTCTCCTGATGAATCTTGAGTCAAAGGAAGGATGGTTCTAGAAAATTAGGGCTCCATCTACAGCATCTGTTTTAATTTTCTCCTGAAGTCTATGCCGAGAGCGGTGGGCACAGGACCACCATTGGACAAGGAACATTCCAGATGACAGATCTTTGGATGTTTCAGTCAACTTCTTCATGTGATATTCCAAGTACTTTTTCCTAGAGGAGGAAGGGAGAAAAAAAGGCTTAAAATTCAAAGTTTGATTCACTGCTGAAGTGAAAACAGGCTGGGAGACTGGACTGGAGTTGGGGAAGTTGTGGAAGGGTGCCTTGTCATCCTTGGGGTGCCTGCAGGGAGACCAAGAGAGAAGGCTTTCTGTTACTCATTCGGGGCTAACAGGCTGACCTTTGAAATGTGCAGAGTTTGAGACCCCTTTTAAGATCCCACAAAGGAAGGAAGGGTTTACGCCGATGGAGGCCGCAGTGACTATGAACACACTCCTCACTCAGCAAGGACGAAGCTTGCTTAGTTTGTGATGTGATTTAAGTATGAAGGGTCTCTCCTACAGACTCTTGTGCTGAACACTTAATCCCTGCTGGTGACCCTCTTTGGGAAGGTTGTGGAACTTTAAAAGGGTGGAATATTGCTAGAGGAAGTGAATCACTGAAGGTTGACCTTGACGTTTGATAGCCTGGCCCTTCTTCCTGTCTGCTCTCTGCTTCCTGTTCACCCAAGATGTGAGATGAGGAGTCCCACACTCCCACACCATGGAGCTGCCTTCCGCTCTATGACTACCACTCCTTCAAACTGTGCAGGAAGATAATCCAGCCTCCCTTAGGTCACTTTCTCCCAGCACTGAGAAAAGTAATTAATATAGCAGGGTTTGGAGATGGAGTTGACCCTTCTGTGACTGACCCTGTCACTACTGAACAAGGATTGTCTCAGTATGTTTGATGTATGTCAAGTAACAGGAGCTATAAGACAGACAGGAGGCACATACATACTCGTCCAGGTTAACTGTAGCTGAGTGAGAATGGGGAGCTGCAAGCTCAGGAAACCTTCAGTACAGAGACAAGAGTCCAGAGCTTCCTTTCTCCTTCTCCCTCCCCTCTCCCTCATGGATTCTCCTCCTTTTTCTATTCCTTCCTCCTCCTCTCGCTTCTTTCATTATGAGACAGGGTCTCACTTGTAGCCTAGGCTAGCTTCGATCTCACAGCTATCCTCCGTCTCAGCCTCCTGAAAGCTAGGATTATGTGTGTGTCCCCAGGTCTAGCTCAAACTTCCCTAGGCGGCATCAATTCGTGTTTGTTCGTAAATAGCCCTTCATCAATGGCTCTTAGCTTCCCAGTGCTTTCCTGGCCCTTTAGCAAACTCAGTTCTCTCACTTCATTTCCTTTGCTGTCTCCTAACTGACACTCTCCAAATTAAACCCAGCTAAAGCCGAGAGTTAAGGTGAGGGTTTATCACAACTGGGATAGGCAAATTTGGATGGAGAGTACAGCGGCTAGGGCTGCGGATGTCGTGTGTGGGCAGACTGCTTGACTAGTGTGCACAAAGCCTTTGGGTTTGATCCCCAGAACAGGAGGAAATAAGGAAGTACCTAAATCCCAGCACTTAGGAGGCAGAGTCAGGAAGTTCAGGAAATCAATGCTAACCTGAGCTGCATGTGACTCTGACTCAAAAACAAAAGCAAAAATATATATAAATAAGAAAGGAAGAGATTAAAAACCAAACAGAAAAAAAAAAACAGGTACTGGGAGGGACACCTGAGTATGTAGCATGTTTGTGTTAGCATGTTGAGGCCCTGGAGTAAACACCAAGGGACGCAACACACACACACAGAGACACACGCGCACATACACATACAAAGATACACACACATGGACACACACACACACACCCTTTAGCAATGATATCAGTTTCTAATCTCGGAACCCCCCTCCAGATTCCTCCTGAAGGACTGTCTAGTTCCTCTGACTGAACCTGCTTCTCTCTCGAGCCAGCAGCCAAGCTACATAAATGTTTGCATTTGCTTTTCCTTCTTCTTTTATCTGATTACTGGAATTAGACTTGCTTTCTTTATAATATTTACTGAAATAGAATTTTACCACAAAATTCTTTCTATTGAAGTGCATAGCTTAGTGGCTTTTAGTATTCAACCCTTACCCCGAACCCTAGGACCCTTTGTCACCCTACTAGTGGTCAGCCCTAGTCCCTCACCAAACTCCTTTCTGCCTCCATGAATTTGCTTATTTTGGACACTTTATAATAGAACCATTTAACAAGTGGTATTCTTGTCTGGCTTCTTAGCATAATGCCCATTAAAAAAATTAGATCTCTTTTTTTTATTGTGAAATTGTTAAGAGTTCATTACATTTTCTGGATGGAAATCATTTAATTGAATACGTGACTGGGAAAAAGTTTCCCCATTCTGTGTGCCTTCCCCTCCATAACTTATGGTTTTTATCAGTCTGTTAGATTTGAGTTTTGCTCTCTTTCCTTCCTTCCTTCCTTCCTTCCTTCCTTCCTTCCTTCCTTCCTTCCTTCCTTCCTTCCTTCCTTCCTTCCTTCCTTCTATCCTTCCTTCCTTCCTCCCTCCCTTCCTCCCTCCCTCCCTCCCTTCTCTCCCTCTTTCTCTTTCTCTTTATTCCAATCTCTTATTTTCCTCTCCATTCCCTGTCTTTGCTTCCTCCACGCCTCTCTTCCTTTCACCCCCCCCCCCACACACACACACTGGGGATTGAACCCAGGGTCTATACATGCCAAACACACACTGTACTGAGCTACATCTCTGGCCATTCCTTTTCTCACCCCTCACCCCCTCACAATGGTCAGGAAAGGAGGATAGCAGAGGAACTCCATGGGATCTTGAGGGGAAGAAGGAGGAACTGAGACACTGTTGAGAGTTCCAGCCTCCTCTCAGAATGGTTAGCACATTCCTGCTAACCGGTTAGCACACTCCTGCTAACCGTTAGTTCTCCCGCACCTGCGGCTGTGCATGTGGGCTGTGCATGTGCAACACAGAAAGGAGCAGAGGCTGAGCTAAGTGGGAAGCCACCAAGGACAGTGGCAGACTTTTCAGCTCTGTGGGAATGCATAATGCATGCCACACTTTCTTGTGAGACCCAGGAGACCAGCCTGTGAGAAAGACCCAGGGACACTCTGGCCATACTTAAAGTTGACCCAAGTATCCTGCTGGCCCTGGAATGCTCCTGTGGACAGAAGCCCACGGATGGTGAGAGAGCACCCGTCCTCCTAAGACTAACCTTGACCAGTCAGGAAAGTTCAAAGTTGGCTTGATGTCAATCTTGAACAATTTGGGGGATGGGGAGTCTCAGAGAACAGAGATCAAAGCTGGAGGAAGGGCTGGGACACAGAGCGGAGGCAGCTGATGTGATTAATTCACCTCACCAAAAATAGATACAAGTTCGATTGCCTGTTTTTCAGCTTGTGTCCCAATGTCCCAGTTGAGGTCTAAGCAGCAATGACAGAATGAGCAAGCCCAAATCCCTGTGTGAAGATCAGCCCTACATCCAGTAGGCATCAAGGAGAGAGTGCAAGTGCCCCTGCCCTCATCTGACCGGCAGCATTCTGTTACTGTAGAATTTGTGGAAGAAGAAATGGCATCCACTAAAACATTTGTCTCACCAGCTCCTCGTTTCCTGCTTCCTCTGACCCTTTGCCCCCCTCCCCTGACATACCCTCTGGGAGTTCAGTAAATATTTGTGGATGAAGATGACCATTGCTAAAAATATGTTCCAATTGGAGGGACTTGTCTCTTGCCACTTGAGTATCCTAAATCCATGAGAACTGATTTTAAAATGTCTTTCCTCTGTCTTAATAAAGTTTTATCGCCCATCCCTTATCAGACAAGATGTGTGTGTGTGTGTGTTTTCTATGTGTGAATGTGGCGTGTATGTGTGTGTGTATATGTGTGTGTGAGTGTAGTATATATGTGTGTGAGTGTAGTATATATGTATGTGTGTGTGAGTGTAGTATATGTGTGTGTGTGTACACGTGTATGCATGAGTGTGTGTGCCTGTGGAGGTATGTGCACATACAAGTGTGAGTATTTGTGGTATGTATGTGTGTGTGCATGTGGTGTGTGTCTGTGTGTGAGTGGGTATGTGTTTGGTGTGTATGGTGTGTATGTGTGTGGTATGTGAGGGCATGTGCAGTGGTGTGTGTGTGTGCGTGCGTGCAGGCACATGTGTGTGTGCCTGTGGGGCTTGTGAGTGTTACGTGTGAGTGTGTGTGTGTTTGTGTGTGTTAAGGTCTCACTGTATAGTTCAGGCTTGTCCCAAACTCACAGGCTCCCTTCCTGGGCCTCCTAAGTGCAGACAGGCACCGCAGCACTCTGTGACCACAGCACTCTGTTGAGAGGATTTGCTTTCTTAACGGAGCACACTTACCCATCCACCATTCTGCTGCACCCAGGGGGAGAAGTACTCTTTTAGGTACTTGGTGCCAAAGCCCAGCATCCTATTCATTGGGTGGTTGTCGATGGCTGTGAGCTTGGCGATGGCGTCTATAGCAAGGGCAGCTTTAAAACCTTGTGCTTTGACTTCTGACTCTCCTCTGGTGTCTATATCCCTCAGGAACAAGTCTGTGATCGTCTTGAACACTGAGTAGGACAGCCCATCCTGGAAGCTACTCATCAAAGCCTTGTCTTTCTTCATCTGTGTGTGAGAGGAAAAGCAATTAGGAGGCACGTGGAAGGCCACTCCTGTAAACAGAAAGCACCAGTAAGAAGCCCCTGGGATGGGGTGTCAATCATGGCGCAGCATCCTGCAGAGTCAAGGGCAGCCCGGTACCTGCTCTACAGATCCATTTATTGGTACAAATAAGGACAAAACTGAAAATCTTATTCGACACTTATTTGGTACTTCCCAAACACCAAGGGTGGAAAGGAGTCATGGATAACTCAGACCCAAGTGCTTACCCATGGGCCCACAGTCTAGTGGGGATGGCCAATAGTGTTCTGTGCTTTTTAAGAGGCAGGGCTATGGATGAGATCTGAACCCTAGTGATATCTTAGGGTGTTCACTCTGCCCTACTCTCTCACTGGCAGTGCAATCTTGGGGACACTACCCATTTTTCTATGTATTTCATCTCTAAACTAGCGTAATGAGAGTACAGCGTTGGACATGAAGGAGGAATTCTGGTGACACCATGGGGAAAGGGAAGACTCCCCACATGTATTTGCTTATTAAAATAAATAATAAAGAAAGAGAGAGGGGGCAGGGCTGGTGAAATGGTTCAGTGGGAACTTGCTGCCAAGCCTGCGTTTGACTCCCAGCATCCTTGGTGGAAGGAGAACACAGGCTCCTGCCCGTCCCTGACCTCGGTGGTGTTCCATGGCACATGGACATCCCACTCCTCCTCCACATGCAATAGATAAATACATGTAAAAACAGCCACAGATTCTTTTTCCATTATTCTACCCAAGTGATTTCACCTCCCACCTCTTCCTCTGTGGATTTGCTGCATGAGCTCTGTATGCTATAAACTTCCTGTTTGTTCTGAGGCCACTCTGCCCCTGCCAGTGTTCCCAAAGCGCACACAATCCACTCTCTTCTCTTTAGCCCAATATCCCTGGTTTTCCTTCTGTACCTTCCCTAGGCCTTTCATCCCTTTATGTCATGATCTTCTGGGCACCATTTTCTTCTGCTTTTCCCTTCTGCAGAAGCCCACACACATTGTCCCTGGACCTGACTTTCTCTCAACGGGTCCTGACCACAAAAGAAGAATCTACAAATCAGATCCCGATTGACAGACCCCAGAGATAGGTGATAGACTATGGGCACAAAAGAAAATGCCTTCTAACTTCAGTGTGGGCTTGTTCATCAGTGCCAACCAAGGACAGTTATCTCACTTTGTAATGAGAAGGGCGGGTCTCCACTGCTCCACTTATGGGTTCTTGGGTTCCCCACATTTCACAAGCCTGCCTCCCTGGGTGAATGGCTAAGACAGATTTAAGCAGGCACAGTCCAGCAACTGTATGGGGCATTTCAGAGAGGATTCCAGCCTTTGAGTAACTATCAGACACATAGCCAAGCTGCTGGGCAATTGCAGCCGTCCAGACTCCCCTGAGGTTCAGTTAGATGAGAAGGAGGTTGATAAGCCTATGCAACAAATTTTCATTTTTCCGATGTCTTTTCTTATAATAACACAGTTGCATTTCCAGTTTCCAGAAATTCCAAAGAGGCTCCAGAAGATTTACTTCTGTTTTCCAAAGTGATTCATTTTTGAGATGCTGCCAGTGTGAAGAGGCAGACTCCAAGGGAAATAAAATTTAGGACTAAATGGAAGCCAGGACTCTGGAGAGGACGAGGGTCAGAGCCTGGTGCACAATTCCATTGTCCTGCCCTAGTGCGTGGGCGCAGACAGGAACCACGTTAGCTCAAGGGACTCCATACCTCTCTTCCCAGCTGATCCCCTGAGTATTTCAGCAGCTCAACAATTTTGTTTATTACTTGATCCTCTCCATCTGTTTAGGGGAGAGGGAAATTCCAGTTATTTCTTTCAAGACAGGCACAAAAATAATAAACGTGTCCTTCCAGTGGCAATGCTTGTGGCTTGGTTATGGATGGAGAAAGGAGCAAGCATTCAGATCCTCAGTTGATAAATCTCACCATTCAAGACTTCTCCAGTCCCATCCTTGTCTTTTCGCTCAGTGCCTCCTTCCCCTCCCAATTCTCACTGAGAAACTTATGACTTATTTACTGTATGAACACTGGTGAAGACATAAGTTCCACTAAACATAATCCTGTCCATGAAGAGACTTAGGAGATGATTCCCTTTTAATTTTTTTTTAATTTTTATTTATTTTGCCACTAAGCAATAGCTACCTACAGCCTGCCCATACTACACTTGCTTTGGGGCAAAGCCGGAGCCTCATGGTTTCTAGGCAAATGCTCCACCACTGAGCCACACAGCCACTCCTTTTTCTTGTTTTCAGACTATTTCTCAGCAGATGGTGTGTTTGTTAAATATAAATTCCGTGTGTGTGTGTGTGTGTGTATGTGTGTGTGTGTATGTGTGTGTATGTGTGTGTGTGTATGTGTGTGTATGTGTGTGTATGTGTGTGTATGTGTGTGTGTATGTGTGTGTATGTGTGTGTGTATGTGTATGTGTGTGTATGT